CAAACCCTTCTTTTCTGAACATATTGTTGCGTCTGCGATGGGATCATGAATGGTGGGTTGGGGGCTGAAGGGCTTAAGACTTAAAGCTTGGTTTTGGCTGTTCCTTTGTTGTATTCATAAACTTGCAAGGTTTCAGGTTTCCAGTTGGTGCTTCAAAGGCCTTGTTTTTCCCCAGATAGCTGGCAAGCTATAGGGGTTCTTACTTCTCAAAGGTGGGGTCTTCGGTGGCGAACTTTTGAGCCCAGGGTGCTGTGCAGGGTGCTGTCCAGACTGCGGTGGCGAAGTCTGGCAAAGGTGCTGTGCAGGGTGCTGTGCAGGGTGCTGTGCAGGGTGCTGTGCAGGGTGATGTCCAGACTGCGGTGGCGAAGTCTGGCGAAGGTGCTGTGCAGGGTGCTGTGCACGGTGCTCTGCAGGGTGTTGTCCAGAGTGCGGTGGCGAAGTCTGGCAAAGGTGCTGTGCAGGGTGCTGTGCAAGGTGCTGTCTGTGCAGGGTGCTGTGCAGGGTGCTGTGCAGAATGGCTGTCCAGACTGCGGTGGCGAAGTTTGGCAAAGGTTGCTGTGAAGGTGCTGGGTGGGTGTGCTTTGCCGGGTGTGTCCAAGAGTGCGGGGCGAAGTCTGGCAAAGGTGCTGTGGAGGTGCTGTGCAGGGTGCTGTGCAGGGTGGTGTCCAGACTGCGGTGGCGAAGTCTGGCAAAGGTGCTGTGCAGGGTGCTGTGCAGGCTGCGGTGGCGAAGTCTAGCAAAGGTGCGGGTGCTGTGCAGGGTGCTGCGCAGGGTGCTGTGCAGGGTGCTGTCCAGACTGCGGTGGCGAAGTCTGGCAAAGGTGCTGTGCAGGGTGCTGTGCAGGGTGCTGTCCAGATGCGGTGGCGAAGTCTGGCAAAGGTGCTGTGCAGGGTGCTGCGCAGGGGCTGTGCAGGGTGCTGTGCAGCACCCAAGACTGCGGTGGCGAAGTCTGGCAAAGGTGCTGTGCAGGGTGTTGTGGAGGGTGCTGTCCAGACTGCGGTGGCGAAGTCTGGCAAAGGTGCTGTGCAGGGTGCTGTGGAGGGTGCTGTGCAGGGTGCTGTGCAGGGTGCCGTGCAGGGTGCTGTCCAGACTGCGGTGGCGAAGTCTGGCAAAGGTGCTGTGCAGGGTGCTGTGCAGAGTGCTTTTCAGTCTGGCAAAGGTGCTGTGCAGGGTGCTGTGCTGTGCAGGGTGCTGTGCACGGCGAAGTCTGGCAAAATTGCTGTGCAGGGTGCTGTCCAGACTGCAGTGGCGTGTGCAGGGTGATGTGCAGGGTGCAGGGTGGTGAGCAGGGTGCTGTGCAGGGTGCTGTCCAGACTGCGGTGGCGAAGTCTGGCAAAGGTGCTGTGCAGGGTGCTGTGCACGGTGCTTTGTGGGGTGCTGTCCAGACTGCGGTGGCGAAGTCTGGCAAAGGTGCTGTGCAGGGTGCTGTGCAGGGTGCTGTGCAGGGTGCTGTGCAGGGTGCTGTGTTGCAGGGGTGCTGCCAGACTGCGGTGGCGGAAGTCTGGCAAGGTGTGCTGTGCAGTTGTCCGACTGCGGGGTTGGCGAAGTCTGGCAAAGGTGTGTGCAGTGCTGTGTGCCGGGTGTTGTCAGCGTGCGCAACCGAAATCTGTCCAAAGGTGCTGTGCAAGGTGCTGTGCAGGGTGCTGTGCAGTGTGCTGTCCAGACTGCGATTTTGACGATTGTCTGGCAAAGGTGCTGTGCACGTGTCTGCAGGTTGCTGTCCGGACTGCGGTGGCGAAGTTGGCCAAAGGTGCTGTGCGGCTGTGCAGGGTGGGGTGCTGTGCGGCTGTGCAGGGTGATGTTGCAGGGTGCTGTGGCAGGTGCTGTCCAGGGTGCTGGCAGGGTGCTGTTCAGACTGCAGTGGCGAGTGCTCTTCAGACTGCAGTGGCGGGCAAAGGTGCTGTGCAGGAGTGCTGTTCAGAATGCAGTGCTGTGCAGGGTGCTGTGCAGGGTGCTGTGCAGGGTGCTGTGCAGGGTGCTGTCCAGACTGCGGTGGCGGGTCTGGCAAAGGTGCTGTGCAGGGTGCTGTGCAGGGTGCTGTTCAGACTGCGGTGGCGAAGTCTGGCAAAGGTGCTGTGCAGGGTGCTGTGCAGGGTGCTGTGCAGGGTGCTGTGGCAGGGTGCTGTGCCCAGACTGCGGTGGCGAAGTCTGGCAAAGGTGCTGTGCAGGGTGCTGTGCAGGGTGCTGTTGCAAGGTGCTGTGCAGGGTGCTGTCCAGGGTGCTGTGCAGGGTGCTGTCCAGACTGCGGTGGCGAAGTCTGGCAAAGGTGCTGTGAAGGGTGCTGTGCCGCTGCTATCCAGACTGCGGTGGCGAAGTTTCGCGAAGGTGCTGTGCAGGGTGCTGTGAAGGGTGCCGTGAAAGGTGCTGTGCAGGGTGCTGTGCTTTGGTTCCACGTTGGGAACCATCAGTTCCAACCTTTAGGAACTGGAAATTCTTTGCAATGGTAACCTATGTTTCCCATGTGGGGAAGCATGAGTTCCGGCAGTTGCTTGCAATGGTAACCCATGGTTCCCAGGTTGGGAACCAGGAGTTCCTTCTCATCCTCACATCCTCACATCTTCACATCTTCTCATCCTCACATCTTCGCATCTTCACATTCTCTCTTGCCCTCTTGCTCTCTTGCCCTCTTGCTCTCTCCTGCTTTTCTATTTCTCTCTTGAAGGCGCGGGGCAGTGCCAACGAGAGCCAAAAACTGAAGAGAAAATAATTGCGATTTTACAACTTCCGCGGCAACCCTTTCGCACGAAAAGAGGTTCGATCGCGAAAAACTGCGGAAAAAATGCGATTTAACGTGTCTGTGTGTAAAAGCTTCTGTGTGTAAATGTGTCTGTGTGTAAACGCGTCTGTGTGTAAACGTGTTTGTGTGTAAAAGGTTCTGTGTGTAAACGCGTCTGTGTGTAAACGTGTCTGTGTGTAAAAGCTTCTGTGTGTAAACGTGTTTGTGTGCAAAAGCTTCTGTGTGTAAACGCGTCTGTGTGTAAAAGCTTCTGTGTGTAAACGTGTCTGTGTGTAAACGCGTCTGTGTGAAAACGTGTTTGTGTGTAAAAGCTTCTGTGTGTAAACGCGTCTGTGTGTAAACGCTTCTGTGTGTAAACGCGTCTGTGTGTAAAGCGTCAGTGTGTAAAAGCTTCTGTGTGTAAAAGCTTCTGTGTAAAAGCTTCTGTGTGCAAAAGCTTCTGTGTGTAAAAGTGTCTGTGTGTAAAAGCGTCTGTGTGTAAAAGCGTCTGTGTAAAAGAGTCTGTGTGTAAACGCTTCTGTGTGCAAACGCGTCTGTGTGTAAAAGCGTCTGTGTGTAGAAGCTTCTGCGTGTAAAAGCTTCTGTGTGTAAAAGCTTGTGTTCAAAAGCTTCTGTGTGTAAAAGCGTCTGTGTGTAAAAGCTTCTGTGTGCAAAAGCCTCTGTGTGTAAAAGCGTCTATGTGGAAAAGCGTCTGTGTGTAAACGCGTCTGTGTGTAAACGCGTCTGTGTGTAAAAGCTTCTGTTTGTAAAAGCTTCTGTGTGTAAACGCGCCTGTGGGTAAAAGCGTCTGTGTGTAAAAGCGTCTGCATGTAAAAGCTTCTGTGTGTAAAAGCGTCTGTGTGTAAAAGCTTCTTTGGGTAAAAGCGTCTGTGTGTAAAAGCTTCTGTGTGAAAAAACTTTACGAAGGATACGATGCAAACTATTGTCGTGTACTTGTAATATTTTGTCTTGATACTACTCTTTTCGCCTGCCTAGAAAGAATCTTAGATATATTGTCTTGTAATATAGTGTCTCAATACTAACAACAGAAGACCCTGCTCCTCTACGCTCTCGGGCCATCCGTCGTCTAGTCTGATCTTCCAAGTGTACTATTTAGATTCATTTTCGTGTCAATTAACCCAGCACACAAGCCCAATAGCAAAATTTTGCGTCTCCTTTGACGTTAATTTGGCATTGGGAAGTAAGCCAATTTCGCCAAGAAAACACAAATCCTTCAATACCGCCAAGACACTATCGCAAAAGTGCCGAGACACCACCAAAACATGAGCAAAATACCCAGAGCATCACCGAACATCGTCAGAAGACTACAGATACACCACCAAAATGCAACAAAACACCAACGGCCACCGAAGCACAAGTGAGAGACCACCGAGACAGCAGCAGGACAAACCAATTCCCGGAAAATGCCAACATACTTTGTCATCCCCATCGCCATCATCACAACCTCCTCACATCAACATCGCCATCACAACACTACCGCCATCTTCATCACCACCATCATCCTCATTCTCACCCTCATCCTCATCATCATAGTAATCATCATCGTCCTCATCCTCATCCTCATCCTCATCACCGTCGTAATCATCATCGTCCACATCCTCATCATCACCATCATCACCATCATCATTTTTATCATCATCATCATCACCATCACCATCATCATCATCATCTTCATCTCCATCATCATTTTACTCCCCAACAGCATAAGCTAATGGGGTCTTCAGCCCAGAATAGCTCCGGTGTGCACTGGTGGAGGCGCCGGGTCAGGTTCAACAGGGTTCCGGAGAAGGTTTCGGAGAAGGTCTGGGAGGGGGTTCCGAAGAAGGTTCCGGAGAAGATTCCAGGAGGCTTCGGTGCAGAGCCAGGTCATGTTCAATAGGGTTCCTAAGAAGATTCCCGGGCAGGTCTGGAAAGCTTTTGGTGCAGAGCGAAAGAAGATTCCGGAGGTCTGGGAGGCTTTGGTGCAGAGCCAGGTCAGGTTCAACAGGGTTCCGGAGAAGGTTCCACAGAAAGCCTTCTGGGAGGCTTTGGTGCAGAGCGTAGCAGCAGGGAGCTTGACAGCAAGGATGGGAAACAGGAATGGCTGAACCATGCTGAAAATCTGCAAGCACCAGGGTTATCAAATTGCTGTGCCAAGGCATCTCCAGGGAAAAGCCTGTTGACAACAGTAATATCAGTAATCTGCAACGAAGAAAAACCAAGACACCCCCTGAGTCCTGAACGCAAACAAAAAAAACAGCAAAACAAAAACTAGCTTCCCTTTGCTTCGTCCAAAGGTCTTTTCAACTGCCGAAGTCAAATAGGTAACATCTTCAGGACGATTTTCTTCCTGCTAGGTCAACCGCGACCAATTTGGTGCAAGCAGTGACCCAAAAAACAGTTCCTCCTGAACATTCCCTGCAAGATTTCGGCACCATCGAGTACCATCTGGCTAGTCGGCTATCCGGCATCCACTGAAAATGGTGATACCTTGGAAACCGAGGAAGATTCAGCCCAAACAAACATGGGTTGTGAGGTGGCACGTGTACCATCTTCGCCCATACCCCTGTCCATCCTCAACTTGGCACTGCAAGCGAACCCCCAAAAAAACAATTGCGTTTGAACGGGAGCTGCTATTGAACCAAAGCTGCGAGTGGGAAAGGCTGTGGTGGCAAGGCTTCTCGCCATTCATCCTCGTACCTGGCCCAGCACCGCACACTTGGCAGTGAACCATGCGATGCCGCCCTTTTTGTCAGATCTGGTCTAGTGTTTCTCCTGCTTGTGTCACTTAGCCAACCTGTGGAGCTCCAGAGCAGCAATTGTCTCTTGATACCCCGACAATTTTTGACAACAAACTATATCGCGATTCTGGGCGCAGCAAATGATTGGATAACTTGTGCAGGAAACATGATAAAGTCTACAAAGTCGCATTGCAAGTGTCATAAGCTGGGGGCGCATGCCGTTTCGAAATGCCCTGCTCACTACACTCACGGCTGAAAACTTACAGTAGCTGTCTAGTTGGGAAGGGCATGTCACTCTTGCGGGGCCCTCTTGCGAGACACTCTTCGAGGACACCACTCTTGCTACAAAGAGCTCCTGAACTCTTGGGAAAGATCTTTGCAGCGCTGCGCATGCCTCGTCAGATGACCTTCCACAACCGCGGGGGCCTCACCAAGTGTTGCGCCTACCACATGCACCTGCATCCTAGATTGCTGCAGACTCGGAGCCCCTTGCGCAGCGGTTCCCGTGCCATCCGCGTGAAAAAACGGCTTTGCGTTGTAGCCGCAAGTGCGCATGTAATGCCCCTGGCGTAAAAAGCGCATGTCGATAAGGCCAAAGCAAAGTCCAACAAAACATTGTTTTCCGAAACTTTTCACCTTGTGACAGGGAAAAGGCCGCGGAGCAAAAATATGCCAAATGCGGACCTTAAAGAATCTAGCCTAGCGGTTACAATTCACCGTTCCAAGAAGGCAATTGGGCAATGCACTTGGCGATCCCAACACAGGCTGTCATGTTCTTGTTCACATGCCTTCGCCTTGTAGCTAACGCAACATTGCAACTTGCAAGTGCTGCTTGGGGCTCATGCCGTCTCTCGCGGGCAAAGCGGCTGTCTGCCAGGGAGTAGAACTCTCTCCTGCAACGCCCTACCCTATGCTTATAATAAGTTTCGGCCCTTTCGCAGTTGAGGTGATTAGTTGATTTTAAAAGCATACAATGGCGAAGCCATGAGACGTCATAAAAATCTTATGGGTCTTGGCGCTGCTGCGAAGAATCCTGGAGTCAACTGGCGGAGGTGCTCCCAAGTCTTGAAGCTCAGCCTCCCAACAATCACACCGCACCTCACCCGAACTGCCTATAACTTTCATCCTGGCCTCTCCGTACCACGTCAGCGTTGCAACATTGGCAGCCAGCCACCAAAGTGAACGGGCTCCCGATCCATATCTTTTCTCCCCTGGCACCAGGGCTGCTAGGCTTGCGTTCAGCACAAGCACCCGTAACTAGAAATTGAAACGTGCACTGATTGGCGCACCTTCACACTTGCCAGAGCATGGCCGAAACCTGTGTATGCCCACCGGCAAAATTGCAAGAACTTTCGAGCAGGCTCGATGTCACATACATGCCATATGTGAAACCTAATACCTTAAAAAATAAACTGGGGTGGTTGCTGGTGTAATGCTTCTGCAAGGCGCGTGGCCAACTCGTCGACGGGGATCCTGGGAACCACAGCAAAACAAAGCTGATAGGTTGCACCGGCAAGCTGCAAGCCGGAAACGCGCCTTGGCGTGTACTGCTCCTGACGGTGGTTTGAAGACGAATATCAAAAGTTGCGCTGCTGCTTTCTCTTGTCGGATTGTGTGCCTTTTTTGGGGGTGCCAAGTTTCAAATCAAATTGCCTGAGATTCTGAGATACAGCCGTGTTGCTTCCAAGGCGTGGAAGGGGCTAAGCTGGTTTCAACACAGTGGGCCTCTAGGCAAAATTGTTTGCCTGAGACCGGGAGAAGAGACCGGTAGCAGGATGTTGGCATTGATGCTCCAGTAAGGGACTTCATCGACTTCAACACAAAGCTTGGGGCAGTTAGAAGATAATGACGTCAAGAACTAGTTACCTTTTCCCACCCCACATTGCGCCCCGCGCATCAAAAAGTCTCACCGCAACCCCTGACCCTGACTGCCACCCCGTTAAACAATGTGCTACATTGGGCCCCCATATATAATGCCACACCAAAGGCATGCGTCCTGGAGATCGTCGCATTGCCCTGGCAAGTGTCTGGCCCAGACAGAGAACACAGAAGAAACGTGGTGCTGCCTGTGTTCCCGCAGCTATGGATTCACGCATCTTTTGGCTCCCAAGTGTAAATCTACGTTGTGCTTGCGGCCCCTGATAACACGCATTCGAATCATCCATCCGAGAAACCATCGCCTGCATTATATTTTGACTTGCCAACGGGTTGCGGGCACTACTGTTCCCCTCCGTCTTTCCATGAAGTTCCTTACTTTGCAACAGTGGCAGGGCAAGGGGCCACAACAAACATGCATGCACGCGCGCACTGTGTAGGCATACGGCCACCGGCAGTAAAGGACACTCAGAGACACACAGGCAAAGGCATGACCCAAACAAAAGCGTTCACTACCGTTGAATAAGGCATAGCAAGGAGACCAAGAAACCAATCTTTTGGGGAGAAACAAAAAAAATCACCAGGGATGAAAAAAAAAAGCAAAAAGCGATCCAATAAAAAATGGTTTGCAAGCGCGCCTTCCGCCCAAATTCATATTTTCCCATGGGGTGTATCGATTTCGCGATGGGGTTTCACCGATTTTTTTGTACATTGCGTGCCTTTCCCACCTTCCGCCGGACATTCCAGACATGTTAGCATGGAGCAAGAACCGTGCTGTTTCTGTGCGTGTTGCGCGCGCCATCCTCCCTATAGCTTTTCTTGGCACCAAGCGCCCCAAAAATGTTGACATATTTGACATGGGACCTGTCACCAGCCAGCCCAGGAACCAGGAACCTTAATATGGAGCAACCCAACCTTAGTTTATTGCGCAGGTTGCGTGTATGTTCCTTATCTCACTCGCTTGTCTCGGCAAACTTTCTTCGAGCGACCCCCCGCCAACTGACATTCTGCCTGGCATTCTATATCCTTATCTGACATATAGTCTGACATTCCATCTGGCATGTTTATCTTGCATTCCATCTCACATTCTATCGGGCATTTATTATTTGACGTGTATTCTGACATTCTGTCTGGCATTTTATACGGCGCTCTATCTGGCATTTTTTTGATATATATTCTGGCATTCTGGCTGCAATTCCATATGGCGCTCTATCCGACATTTTATTTGACATCTATTCTGGCATTCTATCTGGCATCTAGCCTGACATTTTATCTGACATATTTTGGGATTCTGTCTGAGATTTTATCTGGCATCTATTCTGGCATTCTATCAGGCATCTTTTCTGGCATTCTATGCGGCATCTGTTCCCGCATTCTCTCTAGCATCCTGTCTGGCATCTATTCTGGCATTCTATCTGGCATGTCTTCGGGTCTGTGCCTGCCCACACTGAACTGGAATGCTGCGAATCAGGTTGCCCTAGGCCTGAACCTGGACTAACCGGTATGTGCCATCTGCGCTCCTTTTAGCACCAGCGGCGATGCACACAGTAAGCGCGGGTGCAAGCCCACAACATGCCTGGACATATGACCGTACTACCGCCAAATGTACATTCACGCCCCCTTGAACTGGAAAGTGATTGGTTGGCCCGAGTAAGCTTCGGTGGTATCCCCAACAGCCGAAAGGTTACATTTTTACCCATCTTTCTGAAGTGTGCTGCGCTGCGAAGCAGCGCTCGATACACCCCAGCTTGGTTTCCGTGAATTGAAAGGCCGCAAATCCTGCTAAACCATGCTAAACCTACCTGGCTCTCACCAAAGCCTCCCAGGCCTTCTCCGGAACCTTCTCTGGAACCCTGTTGGGCCTGACCTGGCTCTGCACCAAAGCCTCCTGGAACCTTCTCCGGAACCTTCTCCGGAACCCTGTTGAACCTGACCTGGCTGCACCGAAGCCTCCCAGACCTTCTCCGGAACCTTCTTCGGTGCCTGTTGCACCTCACCTGGCTCTGCACCAAAGCCTCCCGGAACCTTCTCCGGAACCTCCGGAACCTTCGTTGAACCTGACCTGGCTCTGCAGCAAAGCCTCCCAAATCTTCTCCGGAACCTGGCTCTGCACCGAAGCCTCCCCGACCTTCTCCGGAACCTTCTCCGGAACCAAGGCTTCCTGGAGCCTTCTCCGGAACCTTCTCCGGAACCCTGTTGAACCTGACCTGGCTCTGCACCAAAGCCTCCCAGACCTTCGGAACCTTCTCCGGAACCCTGTTGAACATGACCTGGCTCTGCACCAAAACCTCCCAGACCTTCTCCGGAACCTTCGGAACATTTTCCGGAACCTCGTTGAACCTGACCCCGCGCCTGCACCAGTGCACACCGGAGCTATTCTGGGCTGAAGACCCCATTAGCTCACGCTGTTGGGGAAAAATTGAAAAAGACCTGCAATGGAAATATGGCAACCCATGACCGCCTGTGCATTTCTCAGCACTAACACGAACAAAGTCTTACGGGTGAGGAGGGTAGCATGCCTCTCGAACACTCTCGGGCATAGGCCTTCTCCGTCATTTAGAATCAAAAAGTCGGAGTGCGGCCGAAACAAATCCTTGCTTGGAATTTCCAAGCTATTAGCGTTCAAGCCATCAAAAGAAGCAATGCTATACTACAGTGCATGCTGCAGATTCCTCTTCAGAAGGCGCTGAAGGCAAGAGAACATGCTAAGTGCAGAAGACATGTCAAAGGTGATCACCAATGAAGATGGACCTCAACAATGATCATGTCACATGGATGGAATCAAGTTTGAAATTTTAAGTTTGATTTTCTTCCCCAGGACAAACAGAATCAGCAAGAAGCGGGCAAACATGTTCTTGGCGGAGTTGAACCAACCCCCTAGGCAAGATTTTGCTCTCTCGCACCACATTGTGGATTTAAGCCTTCATTCATTTAGGGTTTCTTTAGGGTTTCATTTAAAATTTCTTTGGGGTCTTTAGGGTTTCATTTAGGATACAAACAGGAGAGAATAGAGCAAAAGATAAGAAAAAACAAAGAGGCAGTAAAGGCAGGAATCAGGGCAGCAGCGGAGCAGGAAGTAGAGCAGCAAAAAACGCATGACCGAAGAAAAGAAAAAGTAGAAGAGTAATAGTAGAAGTAGAAAGGCACAGAACCACAAAAGCAGAAAAGCAGAGAAAGCAGAGAAGCAGAAAAGAAAAGAAGCAGGTAAAAGCAGGAGAATCAAAAGCAGGCAAAGCAAAAAGCAAAAAAGCAGAAAAGCAGAGAAGCAGAAAAGCAGAGAAGTAGACAAGCTATGAATTTCATGAAGGTCCGGAAAGCAGATCCAGGGGGTCAAAAAAGCAAGGGGGGGGTCAAAGAAACAAGGTGGGGGGTCAAAGAAACAAGGTGGAGGGTCAAAAAAACAAGGTGGGAGGTCAAAAAAACAAGGTCAAGGGGTCAAAAAAGAACAAGGCGGGGGGTCAAAAAAAACAAGGGGCCCAAATAAAAGCAATACGCTCGGATGACTCGGATGTCTCGCGCAAAAGCTTCGTTTTGACTTCTTCAATTTTGCGATTTGGACGGAAGTCTTGCACGAAATGCGTTTTTGAGAGATTGCGCGAACGCGCGAACTTCTGTGTCTTGCAGCGTGAACCGTGCCTCCGAAGGTGGATGGGGAAGCTCTGCCGCGCGGCGTGTGCGAAACTGTCTCGGCCATGATCGGATCACTCCGGATCGGCCCCCCGTTGGCACTGACGGTTCAGGCGTCGTTTTTAGAACTTGAAGGTGTCAGTTTTGGGAGGATGTCTCGCACGAAAGCTTCGTTTTCACATCTTCAACTTTCACTTTTTGGCGGGATGTCTCGCAGCCTCGGTTTCACATCTTCAACGCTCGCAAATTTTGAGGGATGTCTCGCCCGACAGCCTCGCTTTCACATCTGCAACTTTTACTTTTCGAGGGATGTCTTGCGCGAAAACTTCTCCCGTTGTGCATTCACCCCGTGACGTCAGGGCAACCAGTTTGTAAAGGACCCACCTCTCGAGCTTACAGAATGTCATGGCTTCAATTTTATAAGATGGGTGGTGGTGGAGGCTTGGTTTGACTCCCCAGGAAACACCGGGGTGAACCAACAAAAACAAAAACGGCGCCTTACAAAATTCTTGCCCCAACCTCATTTCCCAGGTCCCAAGTCAAGTCATGGTTATAAACTTTTGTCATGCAAAGCGGTTGGTTTGGAAACATGCCTAACCTGTACCTATCCCACTGCCCCGGGAAGCACTGCAAAAAATCCAATAGAAAAACATGGCCCCCGGGCATGGTCGTGATTTCAATACCCTCCTTTGCACTGCCTGAAATGAACCCCAAGCAGTATTATGACATGACTGGCCCTGACATCATTTTATAAAGAATTCGGATCTTACAATTGGTTCGCCCAACCAAAAAAATAAACCTTTTGCAAAATTGCCAAGATGGCAGGATTCACTCGGCACAAATCGCTACAATACAAAGCGGCCTTTTTGTATGAAAACCGCCTCTGAAATGGAACATGGTTCCCAGCATTTCATACTGGAAATGTGCACAGGGATGAAAGCTTCGTTTTCACATCTTCAACTTTCACTTTGTGAGGAAACCGCTGAGTCGCACGAACCCCTTCTGAATCCATTCCGCTGCGATCTACAACGATGCCTCACGAAACGCAGCAGCG